ATAGCCATGTTCAAACATGAATGTGCCAAGTTCAGCTAGGTGTTTTGTTTGTTTGTTTTTTTTAATACCAAGGCCCAAAAACCTTCCAGTGGAACAAGCTGTCATTTACTCCCCAATCCATTCCCTAGTCTGAGGTTGTCTCCCCCTTTTTTATTCTCTCAGCTTAGCAAGACAATGTCACGTCTTTAGGCTCAGTCCCATCTATACTCAGGGTTCTAGTCCTGCCCTAACAGGGAACATGAGACCCTGGCTATTCCGTACTTAGTTAAGGATTAGCTTCTTGAATTCCTAATTTCTTTACTCTTTTTGACCTCTACAAATTGAGTTCAAGTTTTTGGACATCCCAGACTTAATATTTATCCAACATCCTCTATTTAACTGATGCCCATCCATCTACATGATCCCACTCAAATCCCTCACCTAACCTTGAGGAAGCGAAGTATGGAGTGTGATTGCCTGGGCAAAGTGCCAAGGGAGTGTAGTCAGGGGGCAGAAGTGAGCAAACCCAAATGTAAGATGGGTTAAACGCGTGGAGACCAGGTCAGAAGGTATAGTCCATAGGGGTCGTAGTTTGTAGGGGACATATTGTTTCTAGAACACAGTCCCAGAAATGATTCATCATATGCTGTGATTAGGAGTTAGTTTAGTGGTCAGAGTAAGGGATCTCTTTGTAAATAAAATCAGGAAAAAGACCATTTTATAAATTCAAACTAAACAAAGGATATAAGATGAAAACTACCTGTGGAAGGGTGACCATCAATGAAGAGACTAGAGAAGGAGAAGCTGAGGAGGAGGGTTTTATCGTTGTGTCTCCAATGCTATGCAGGTGGGGAGATGACTGGTCCTTTGGTCCATTTAGAAGGTAGATCCCATATAAGAAACATGTGATATCATAATTTAATTCACTTATTTATTCTCCTAGTTCTTTTTTTTTTCCTTCCTGTGCACATACTGTGGTCCAGATACCAATGAAGATAAGTCAATAGACAAGATAATTTCTTCCCTTTTGTATCTCACAGTCTAATGGGAAACAGAAGCTTATAAACAACTAATTAAAATACTATGAGTTAGGGTTCCTTGGGATCTCAGAAGATGGGCAATCCCAAACTTTCCAGGTCAAGGAAAGCCTTCCCAAGGCAGAGACCTCTTTGTAAAATTCTACAGAACAAGGGTTTTTGCATGATGGACTTTTTGTCTTCACTTAGCTCTTCTTAATGGGAAAAGATGGTTTAGGACTAGTCTACATGAATAGTTCAGTTTTCTTGGCAAATACAGCTCTCATCATTAAACTAAAATTCCAGTTAATTTTTAGAACCAGTATGGAAATCACTCACTTAGGCCTGAACTGAAACAAAACAAAACAAAACAAAACATTTTTGAGCCTACAAAGCCAAGAACTGAATTCTTGAGCAGCATTAGAAGGCATAGTAACTGAGACACCCAGCCGATTGGTCAAACACCCTTATTTCTCTTTACCAACTCATGATTGGTAACTGGCTCGACCTGGGAACTTTTAGGGCAGTGACGAGCAAGTTCCACATTTCCTGAATAAAAGTAAAAATGTGTATCAGGGGCTTCTTCCACATTTAAAGGAAGCACTTCCAAATAGTTCTCAGTAATAGCGGAAGGACTTGAATTAATTTTAATTTTCCCATGTCCCTAAGCCTTCACACCTGAAAGCCCCGTGTTAGTTTGCTGGAGCTTGCATAACAAAATACCAGACTGGGTGGTTTCAACAATGGAAATTAATTTTCTTTTGTTCTAGAGGCTGGAAGTCCAAGATCAAGGTGTCAGCAGGGTTGGTGTCCTCTGAGGCCTCTCTGCTTGGCTTGCAGATAGCTGCCGTTTTATTGTGTCCTAACATGGACTTTTCTCTGTGTATACATATCCTTAGTGTATCTTTTGTGTGCCCAAATTTACTTTTTTTATAAAAAGACCAGTAAGATTGACCCTGGCCAGTGTGGCTCAGTTGGTTGGTGCCTTGTCCCATAAACTGAAAGTTTGCAGGTTTGATCCCATCAGGGCACTTGCCTGGGTTGTAGGTTCAGTCTCTGGATGACATGTGTACAGGCAACCAATTGATGTTTCTCTCTCACATCGATGTTTCTCTCTCTCTCTCTCTTCCTCACTTCCCCCCTCTCTCTAAAACCAATAAGAATGTCCTTGGGTAAAGATAAAAAAAAAAGAGAGAGAGAGAGAGACCAGTAAGATTTGATTGGGGCCCACTCCAATGGCCCCGTTTTAACTTAATACCTTTTTAAAGGTCCTATCTCCAAATATAGTCACATTCTCAAGTACTGGGTATGAGGGTTTCAATATATGGATTTGGGGACACAATTCAGCTCATAATAGCCCCCGTCTGCAGATTCTTGCTGTCTGGTTGCCCTGTGATTCACTGTACGGAAAGCAGCATGAATTATAGAGAAAGCCGGTGACTATAGGGCCCTCTACTTCTAAAAGAATGCCTACCTCAAACCAAGAGAGAAGTGGAATAGTCTTGGGATCTGTACTCCCTCATGCAATCATGGTGTTCCAGGATTTGGGGCATCTCCCTGAGTTTTAAGAGTGACAGTTTCTACAAAAGGCAGCTGATACGTCTCCATGTTCTACACTTTAGGGAAAGGTACAAACCAATGACTATCAGAGACTTAAGACTAAGCAGCCTTTGAAGATCTCAGGTTGCTTTTATAAGCAAACTACAATATAAAAACAGAGCCAAGAGGAGAGGAAGTAAAAGAATTCTGCAAGGCACAGTTAGCAGCACTATGAAAGTCACTGTTTCCTGTTTGCTGACAAACCTCATTCTTCCACAGGGGCCTTGCTCAGTGTTAACAGGTCCTACTTGCCAGTGGCTCTGGGTCAATTCACTGAAAGCCCGTAGTTTTCATTTTACCTAGCTAGGGCCAATCCCACCCCTTCCCTTCCTGTTCTCAACAAATTTCTTCATTGTTTCTAATCCCTCTTAATCCCTGCCCCCCTGCCATTTGTTTTCATTTCCCCCAGTCCTTTCAAGCACCTCTTGGATCCTCCATGCCTTTGTCAGGTTCCCCATTTCTTTGTCAGTCCTAGTCCTAAATCACTCCCAGTCTCACAGATCCTTCCCTTTACACTCTAGTCCTTTAGCTCCTCCCCTTTGCTCATTTTCCTAGCCCTTCCCACTCATCCTCAACTCTCCCACTACCTCAAAGAGAACACAGCCATTTAAATGGGGATAAAACAGCCCAATTGCCTATCAAAAATGCTGTGCCAGTTTATGCTCACATCAACATTGAATTATATGGAAGGGCTTGATATCGAAAACACCTTCACCAAGGCTATTACTCTTTTTTTAAAAATTGAATTTATTGGGGTGACATTGGTTCAGGAAACCATGCAGGTTTCAAATGTACAGCCCAACAAAACGTGATCTGCACACTGCGCTGTGTGCCCATCATCCCAAGCAAAGTCTCTTTCCATCTCCATTTTCCCCAGTTTTGCCTACCTCTACCTCCCCCTTGCCCCCTGGCTAATACCACACTGTGTTGTGTGTGTGTGCGTGTGTATTAATCTCTTCATTTTTTTTCACCCAGCCCCCAAACTCCTCCCCCTTGACAGTTTTAATTAGCTGATATTTTGTGAAAATAAACATCTTATTGCTGTTTTACCTTATATTTTTCTTGACTACTAGTAATGTTGAAAATCTTGCCATATATGTTTTTTGGTTAACTGTATTTCTGATTCTGTGAATTTCCTGTTCTTATTTTTTGTTCTTTTTTCAATTAGGTTGCCTTTTCCTCATTGATTTATATATTTGGATTATTAGACTTTTATTTTTTGTATATCTCATGAATATTTTCCCCTTGATGTTCCCTGTCTTTTAACTAACTGGGCTGAAAGACTGAATATTCCTTAGAATGCTATTAAGCAAATACAATGGAAGACTGGCTAACTAAAATTCTACAGAAATATTCCAGTTGATAAAAGAATTCCATCCAGTAAGAATTGCTGTAAGTATTATAAGTAGGTAAAAGAAGCAAGTAAATATAGTACATTGATCAGTGAATTGCATTTCAGCAAATGGGTCTGCTTCCTTTACTAACGTGTCTCGAAAGCTCAAAGTGGGACACATTTCCTAGTTTTATACATGCATTTTCCCCTCATATTCATTGACTTATTTTTCTTTTTTAATAACACAAGCAATATATTTTATAGTGGAAAGATTCAAAATATACATATGTATAGACTATTGTAGCAGACATTTTTTTCTGCCTACCTAATAGTCATTCTCCCTTCGTCCATGGTGGTAAAGCCTAGGTTTTGTTTGGGCAGCCTCTCAAACTTGCTAATTGACTTATTTAATTCTCTAATTTTACTACTTGATTTATGAACTTCTAAAAAAGTTACATTAGGAGAAGGGGTAGGAGAAACCAGAAACCGAGCCTCATGTCCTCCAGCGAGACTGAGGGACCCTGGAACTACAGGGGTGACCATACAGGAGAGGTTTACATTTAACAGTGCAGTGAGCCTGCCTCTGGACAATACTTGCGAGTTCCATTTAGGAGGTGTTCATACAAGCTCCTAAAGGCGTCTAAAATGGATTCAGAGTGTGGCAGTTTTCAGAGCAGGTAGACTGGTAACTCCAGTAGACATCTACTCTTATGAGGGTGTTAGGTGAGAGAACTTGGCAGGCGATGTGATATATGACAGATACTGGTGTCCTGCCTGATGGGAGGGGAGAGAGGGACTAAGTCAGAAGCAGAGAAGGTATTTTTTTTCCCTTTAACCACATTTATTGAACAAAATTCTATAAACAAAATCATCTGCACCTGCTGCCACAAAACAAGATCCTTTCTTACTAATGTTTTGATAGTCCATAGAGCATCAAAAAGCAACTTACTCTAAACTTAATACAAAAGTGCCCAAAGCAGTCAGTGAATAGCTTAACTACTGCAACTGCCAGACCATGTGCGATAATTCACATGGAGATGCCCACATCCCTGTGACAGGCGGCTGCCGAGACATCAGGAGGCCATTTTGTGTACCACCACTGTAATGTCATTGTGTTTCTGGATCATAATGTTCCCATTATCTGATTCTAGACACACCACAGGAATATCAGTGGGGTCTAAGGTTAGCTTAGCTGCTTGCTGGGCTAGAACAGACATCACCCCTGCGTGCTCATCTGACAGGATCCCATGGCAGCCCAGGTTAAGCCCTTGTGAATCTGTGCACAGGACTCCAACAATGGGTGGATTCTTCACTGTGTCCCCTAAGTGCTGTTCCAAAGTCACCTCCATCCCACCAGCTGTCTACCGGACCCAGGACCCCGCTGCACGCCCCAGAGAAGGTCTTTTTATGAGGGGTTTTGTATGACTTGAAATGATAGGAATGTAGTGAGATTGCCTATGTGGCTAGAGGTCTGGGGACTCTCACGTTACAAGTCAAATATCAAAAACATGGAGCAGACACAGACTCAGAGAGCCATGAAATTGCACAAAATTCTTCAGAGCCAAAGAATGCACATTCAGGCCCAATATACAGGGTGAGTATGTTGCAAAACAGACATGATGCTTACATGGATGAAGTGGACTCTTCTCTTCCACATGCTCTTTTAATTTTTTTGTTATAAAATATTTCATACCTCAAATAAGTTAATATGTAAGAGATAAAGAAAGCTAATTAACACATCAGTCATCTAGCTTAAGGAATAGAACATTACGAATCTCTTTGAAGACACACGTGTGTTTCTATTTAATACCCTAAACTGAGAGCTGAACACCACACCTTCACTTTGTATGTCACTGGCCAGGACTATACCACGTGTCATACGTAAACATACTATTTCAATGGCAACAGGACCATCAGGATTGCTTAGACAAGAGGTTTTCAAAAATTTTGGTTTCAGGGCCCCTTTATACTCTTAAAAATTATTGAGGACCCCAAAGAGTTTGTTTTTATGGGTTATACCTAGCAATAATTACCATATTAGAAATTAAAACTGAGACAATTTAAAAATATTTAATTTGCTTAAAAATAATAAATGCAATACATGTAAATACACACCCTTTTCAAGAAAAACATATTCTCTAAAACAAAAAATAATGAGAAGAGCCTCACTGTTTTTACATTTTTGCAAGTCTCTATCTGGTTCAATAGAAGAGAGCTGGATTCTCATGTCTGTTTCTGCATTTCAGTCTGTTCTAATGTTGTTTTGGTTGAAGTACATGAAAAAAAGTTGGCCTCACAGGGATCTGTAGTTGGAAATGAGGGAGTATTTTAATAGCCTTGCAGATGCTTATGGATATATACTTTTTTCAATCCTCACCCGAGGATAATATGCTCACTGACTTTAGAGAGAGATGGGGGTTGGGAGAAGGGAAGAAAGAGGAGAGAAACACCAATGTGAGAAACGTTGAATAGTTGCCCCCCAACCCCTCAAATGCACTCCAACCAGGGATCTAACCCGAAATTCAGGCATGTGCCCTGACCAGGGATCAAACCTGCAATCTTTCGGCGTATGGGATGATGCTCCAACCAGCTGAGCCACCCAGCCAAGACCTGGATACTCATTTTTGATACTACACCAAAACACAACAGATGATAGCTTCTTACAGGTTAGTAGCAATGTGGAATCTAAAACTATATCAATGAACTTCTTAAACTTGGTTACAATAAAAAAGTCACTGGGCCTTTTGCAGTTGGAGTACAGTTTTTATCCATGCATCATGGTTTTGTAATTTCATGTAGGTTATTTAGAAAATAATTGGATCACTAAGTGAAGTATTATTAAAACGTGTTCACATACAGTGGTGGGCAAAAGTAGGTTTACAGTTGTTTGTATGGAAAATACAGTAATTAATAAATAACAATAGAAGAATAAACTGTGGCATGGTCATGTGGCTCAGCTGATTGGAGCATCATCCCATACACCAAAAGGCTGCAGGTTCAAACCCCAGTCAGGGCACATACCTAGGTTGCAGGTTCAATCCCCAGTTGGGGTGCGTATGGGAGGCAACCAATTGATGTTTCTCACTCTCTCCCTTCCTTTCTCTTTAAAATCAATAAATATACCCTCAACTGAGGATTAAAAAAAGAATAAAGTGTTTTGCATATTCACAGCTGTAAACCTACTTTTGCCCACCCCTGTATTCTTTTTTACTTCTCCTGTTAAGAGGCAGAACTTATTTTCCCTTTCCTTGAGTGTAGACTGTACATATGATTCACTTCTAATGAATAGAATGTAGTGGAAATTACACAGTGTGTCTCCTGAAGGGAGATCATTAGGTTTCTATCTTCCTCCCTCTCTTGGATCACTTGCTCTGGGGGAAGCTAGCTGCCTTGTTGTGAGGATTCTCAAAGCCTGTGGAGAGCTTCATGTGGTGAAGAACTGGGGCCACCTACCAACAGCCATGGAAGCAGATACTCCACCTGCATGCAGTCAAGCCTTCGGAAGACTGCAGCCTCAACAGACGCATTGACTGCAGCTGCAGGATAAACTCTTAAGACAGAACTATCTACATAAGCCAAATTCTTGACCCTAAGAGAAACTAAGAGATAATAAATGTTTGTTGTTTTAAGTCACTATATTTTGGATTAATTTTAACGCAACAGATATCTGAATTATGCTGACCTTCCAAATGTTGACACTTTATTCAATAGAACACACACACACACACACACACACACACACCCCACACTCGCTGATTGCACCACCATGCTCATCAGAAAAATCTTTCCAACATTGGGAAACTATCAAGTTATGTGGCAGATATGGTTTTCAAAATTCTAATTTTTGCTTGAAAGAACACATTTTATCATTAGCAACAAATAATGTCAGTTGTTTCCCTTTAAGTGACAATCTCACTTCATTCAGTTCATAGAAAATATCTATCAAACACCCAAGCCCAAATAATCACACTGTGCGTCACTCAGGTAAAAGAGGTTTTTTTTTTTTGAGTCTGGTTCAGCTAGCCAATTGAACAGGCACAGAATTGCTTTTTGTCAACAAAGTGACACCTGTTACTACCTCCATGGGAGAAGGAATCCCACTGCAAACAGCGTAACAATACCTGCCATCAGGACCAGCAGTCCCAGGATGTCAACCAACTCCATGGTTTGCAAGTGTTGGTGTTGCCAAGGAAGACAAGACTCACACAGGTAGTGGATGGAGCAACACTTTATTCACCTAGAGAAGAGGAAGAGCAAGATCAGCTTTCACGGTGAGCATCTTCCATGGCCAACATACATAATCTGCATGCATTCCTCTTGTGCTGCAATCGAAAGACCTCATTCTCTCCCCACTAGGAGCAGATATAGCAGTAGGGCTAGTCAGGTGTCATATGACACACATGCTTTAGCAGAAGGAAGAAGTACACCTGAAATCCAGAATAGGGAAAGATATTCCCAAATAAAAAGAGATGCCTAGCACAGGCTATGAGAGCTCTTTACCTCTTTGTAAGGAAATGTTCTCAGCACAAAGCATATTCTTATGCATCCTTACACGGGCTGAAAAGACCACACACGACTGCCTTCCCCAGCACTTTTCCTCTGAACATAATATCCTGGTATGCAGCAAACTTGCTTTATGCATACTTCCCATTCTGTCACACTGAGTATGAAAGGACGTGTACTCAAGGTTCAAAATTGAGTACGATGACAAATACTTCTAACAACTTCTTTAAGGACATTCTTAAGTGAAATTGGCTCACCCTCCCTCCCTCAGAGCATTGGTGAAAAAAACAGTAACTGCAAATATAGTTCAATGCCACTGCCTTGATTCATGCCAAGGTACTAGCAGTTTTACACACCATTTAAAATGTACATGTCAATACAGTGAAAAAAGCAAATAAATCTTAGTATTACTGTGAAAGTTTTAACCTTACAGATTCTCCCGAAGGGTCTCGGGGACCTCCACAGCCCGCATGGAGGAATGTAGCCACACTGAGCAACACAGAATTACTAGTAATAGGTGGGGGAAGGGGTGGTAGCTCCTCAGGCCCATGGGCAAGTGTTCACTTAAAAAGTTCGGAACAAAGCTAAATTTCTATGAGTTCTGTCTCTCATAAGGAAACAGAACTTTGAAAAATGTGTTCGCCATCTTCTTCCTTAGAAATACATTTATTTTTTTCCTTTTGAGATATGCAGTGATGACAGGTCTCATTCCCTCACTCCCTCACCAGTGTACCCTAATCTTCCTGTTTTGACCCAGTAGCCTTCAGACCTTCAATATCCTGCAATTCTTCCCTTAGTCCACTCCTTTCTTCCAAATGTTCCGGTCTCCCTATCTCAATCCCAATCCCACCAGTTGCTCCCATTTCTAGGCTGGTGACTTAAGTGGCCTCTGAGGCGAAAAGTTAAAATAGGCAGGAGGGCCAACAGGTGTTGCTGCGGTGTGAGGAGGGAGGCTTTCTCCAGAATCTAGGCATGTGAAACACGTAATGGACGCGATGTATAAAGCCATATAGTGCCAGTGTCACTGGGAAGTTATCTTCCTGAGAACAGAGGCGGCAAGTCAGGAACCATAGATTTTCCACACCTGTCCTCACTCCCCATACGCTGGAGCCAGTGCTGGAAGTAGCAGAAGAGCTGTGGGACTCACGCGGAGCCCTGCGGGTCATGCCGTTAGGGCCAAGGTCCTCACTTCCCACTGGAAAACAAGTAATTCAGGGTAGGGAACAAGGGGTCCCCGGACCTATTTAGCTATTGGCCTCTGTCTCCAGAGACTCCTGGGGGTGCGCAGCGCTTGGAGCGGCTGCAGGCCGACAAAGGCGGGGCCGGCGGAAGGAGTGCGAGGCTGAGACGGGCCGACCGCTGCGCGGGGCAGAGAGAAGCGGAACCGTGCCCAGCGAAGCGCGGAAGGGCTGAGGCCAGGCCCTTTTCCTTCTCAGTGCACGTTTCTCTGACTCAAGAACGACCCCTGGAGGTAAACACTCCGCGACACCTCGCACCGTTCTACCCCTTAAGAATCCGTCTCTACTGTCAGGTTTGTCCCATTTTCCGCTTTTGAAAAAAGAGCGCATTTCCGGGGTGGGAACCCAAGGAGCTTTCTGGGAAATGGAATCTCTGTCAAAAGGATTCTGGGAGTCGTAGTTCCTACTCTTCACGTTGCGCACGCGCATTTCCAATACACGGCCCAGTTTCTATGGCTCCGCGGCGCTGGAAAAGAGAGGTGTGAGTGTATACACGTCCGGCCTTCGACAGTTTGCCCCTCGGGCTCCTTGCCCCGTGGGGAGTGGACCCGAGTGGAATGAGACAGATGGACTTGGGTTCCTGTCAATTACAATTGCCAATTATAACT